GGGATTCGGATAAATCAGGCACTGTGTAGGCAGCTAGGAGAGATTTGGTCAGGCCCATGGTCTGGACACCCGAAGAAATGCTGCTCAGCCTGGGAGAGGAATATTGGATCTGCTTCACATAATCAAAGCACGTAAGGAATTAGTGTATCTAAAAAGCTCTTCCGTACTGGCCCCATATATGCACTCCCGCCCCTTGTTAGGGCTGTCCAAAGGCAGAATGAAGGATGATCTACTTTACAAGTCACAGGGCCTGTCTCCTTTAAGCACCATCTCTCAAGACTTCCTTCCTTTCTTTTTCATTTATTTATTTATTCTTAAGATTTTTCTTTTGAGTTTGTTTTATTTATTTCTTCTGTGAGTGAGAGAGACAGCATTCTTGACACAATGACCCACCCCCAACTTACACTCGTGTTGGACCATGGGCACGAAGTGCATGCCCGTGTCCTCAGGGAGGTCTCTGGACACCAACGTGGAGCCTTCCCAAGTGTGTCAGCCTTGTAGAGAATCCTTTTTGATCACTGCGCTGCCATCTAACCAGTCTTCTTCTTGGTTGGTGGTTGTTTTGTTAATTTTGCTACTTGGTTTTTTATTGCCCTTTATACTCAAGGCTTCCTTTAAACTCCAAGAGTCTAGGCCGTACTGTTTCGTCTTAGACAAGGTTACAGTGCCAATGCAAGACACGCTGTCTTTTGACTATAAAAGATGGATTCTTTTTAATAATATAGAATCTCCTTACTTCTGATAGGAAAGTGTGACTCAGGCAACAATTTAAAAGAAGTTTAGGGTTAAATCTTGTCCTCTCAATAAGAAGAAAATGAAATTACTGATGCAACATGCCATAGGCCACGTGTAAACAGCTGTCTTTCCGGTGGAGTCTGTGGCCTATTCAGGCAACATCAGATGACCATAATCTATGAAGCCCAGGTGCGTTGAAAGGAGTGGTGGGACAATGGCACACAGGGACTCTCGTTTTTTCCTTTTTCTTTTTCTTTTTTTTTGGAGAGGTTTTTGCTATAGGGCGCATGTGCTCGCCAGAAAGACAGAGGGAGACAGAGAGATAGAAAGTGAGAAATCACCCCCCAGGGAGGATGGTCATGCCACATTCCCTTCTCCTCCATTCTCCTCTCGGGATCTTGGGCACACACGCACACGTGTCTGGCGTGAGTTTAAGCCACTGGGTCTGGGACTCAAACTGCAGTCGACTACATAGGAGTCCAGCAACATAGCCATTATGCCAACTGCTGGTCCCAGGGACTCTCTTGTTTTTATGGGCTTCCCGTAGTGAAAATGTTTCTACTTTCAAACAGGCTCTGTTCCATAGGGCAGATTGGAGTCAAGCTCAGCCCCACCACCTTTCCATACCCTGGCCCTTCATTCTGTCTCAGGCAGTTCTACACCCGGTCAGGTCCAGGAATCTTTGACTGAAGAGATCTTTGCTGTGTCTATCTGTAACAGGACCGAAAGAGATTTAAAACTGTCTAATTTCCTAGACTATTACATCTAATTATGACATTGTTGAGATCCCGAACATTCATGATCAAGAAAGAAGCTGGGGAGGTCAGCATGTAGCATGGTAGTTAAGGCACTAGACTCCCAGGAGGCCAACCACAGTTTGAATCCTGGACCTGGTGGCTTGTTTTCTCACTTCTCCTCTCTCTATGTCTCTCTGGTCAGTCCATGTGTCCTGTAGCAAATTTAAAAGGTAAATTATAATAATAAGAAAGAAAGTTAGATAAATAATTCTAAAAAAGGAAGGAAGGAAAGGAGCTGGGAAAAAAAGGAGTTGAATGGTTGGGAGCAGACTTCCCTGCTTCGTTTGCTGGCTTTTCTGTCCAACTGGCAAGTAACTTCCACACCCTATACCTCGGCATCCTTGTCAATTCAAAAAAAAAAAAAAAAAGCCAATAATAATTGTGGGGATTTGTGAGGATTAAATAACACAAAATATCTAAGGTCCTTAGCACCATGCCTAGCTCATAGTAACTGCTCAAAAGAAAATGAGAAATCTAAAAAAAAAAAAAGGATTTCTTCAAACACCCAACCACCAAAAACAAAACAAAAACCCCACCCAATTAGCACAGAATCATGGAACGCTATTTCTTTTTACTTAATTTATTTCTTCCATGAGAGAAGGAAAGAGAGAGTTGGAGAATGGTTAGGGATGGGGAAGGAGAGAGAGGCATCCCCACCAGGGCCTTCACACCACCATCCCACCCCTAGCCTTGCCAGCTGGGATCTCAGGCACCCACTACGTACCTCGTAGTCCAGGGAGGCTCGGGATGCAAACCTGGGGTTACCTATTCGGTCTCACGCTGTGGAGCTTTGCGTTTCTGCCACGCCACTGCAGCTGGCCTAGAACGGTGTTTCTGAAAAGGACTTAGTGCTGTCTAACTTAGCAGCTTTCAGTTTCTTTTTTCTGAGCTGGAGTTCTTCAACAATATTACAGGGAGCCTGGTGCGTCAAGGAAATACAAGCAGAGCTGGCACTGGGGTGAGGAGACGTGGATGAAGCTCCTCTGCCTCGTCTCCTCCTGCCTTCACTCCGTGTCAGACTCCTTAGCACTTGACACCTTCCAGAGCACAGTTTGAAAACCAAAAATCTGGTCCAATGCCACCATTTTAATAAGGGAATGCTAGAAATCCAAAGTTTTTTTTTTTTATTTTTTTAAATGATAAGCCCAGAACTGCAACCTGAATTCCTATTTAGACATGCTCCCTGTAGTGTAGTAAGACCAGAGATTGTGGGACCGTATCACAGAATACTGACAGAGAGACTTTTAAAATCTGAGCATTAGGGTTGGCCCTGTAGTGCAGTAGCGAAGCACTGAGCATCGGGAACTGGAACCCACATGGCTGACCGCAAATTGGATCCTTGCCCCAGGGGCCTGAAGAACTTGCTGGGAGCACCAGCAGATGGCTTAATGGTTGTGTTGCTGGACTCCCACGTAGTCAACTGTTGTCAACTGGACCTGTCGGCTTAAAATTCACTTCGGGCACGTGTGCGTGGAGGAGAAGGGATTGTGGTGTGGCCATTTCCCCAGAAGGATGATTTCTCACTTTCTGTCTCTCTGTCTCTGTCTCTCTCTGTCTAACTGATGAGCGCATGGACCCTATAGCAAAAATTTTTCTAAAAGAAAAGTACGCGGGGGACATGCGTATGCATGCCAGAACTCCTGATGGGGCTGTGGTGTGATGACACCCTGTCAGGGAGCGCTTTCCTCTCTCTCCCAGGTGAGCACAGGTGCCCTCTGACAATTGAAGAAAATAATGTAGCCGGAGCCTCAGTTCAGCGTTATGTGAAACTTTTCCCCTAGAATAGATGATAATCCTTTGGGTGGCCCATTTCCATTTTCGTGTTTATTTTTTCCACTGTTCCTGGTGTCACTTAAAGCCTTTCCTACGAGATGCCAGAACCTTCCATCCATCTTGAGGACAAAGAGCAGCTGTGAAGGTTCCTATGAAATCCGGCTGGAAACCTCGCCCCCTGCTCCCGCCTCTCTACCTTTGCCTTCTGTGGTCCCGTCTGATGCTCAGCAGGGGCTGGGCTCAGAGTGTTCACATCGGGGCATTTCACTTCAACCTCTTGACCGGTGCTCTTACAAGCATAGGCGCGCGGCCCAGAGATGTAAACAGGGAGGCCGACTCAATGAAAGCTTGAAGTCCATGTATTTTCTTTTTAAGATAAGGTTGGTTTGTACAAACAACTTCAGGCTTTATTTGAACATGAAAAAAGATACAACACCTTATGACCGCCATGCTATTTCCAAATGTGAGTAGGTCCCTGTTAGGAAAGTCACATGTCTCTGTTCTCGGGGAAAACTTAAGGTCTTTTATTTACTTTTGGAAAAAAAGAAAGTTGAGTCGGGGTAAAGGGGTCGGTGGGACTCTTTATCACCATGAGAGCTAACCCAGAATCTTTTTTTTTTTTTTTTAGAGAGAGAGATATTTGC